ATTTCTTGAGATGTGGCCAGGCCCTGCTCACGGCTGGCATGGGGGGGGGCCATCACCCCATCTCCTACCTCTTTCCTAGGGTTATGGATGCTCCAAAGTCACAACACAGGCAGCTGGAGAGGGGACTTAGGGAACCGTAGAAAATTAACTAATTAACTGGGAAAAAAAGAATCACTTCAGCTAATTATCAGGATGTAAAATGAACCCACACAAATCATCAGCCTTCCTACCCACCACCAATAAAACCCAGCCAGAAGAAACAGAAAACTACAGAATGTATAAAATAAACATGCATCCAGGTGGCAGTCCACCTACCAAGGTATACAAGAGAACTCTGTGAATATAATTACAGAACATTCCTTAAAGAAATAAAGACAGATGTGAATAGTGGAAGAGATATCCATTGACACTGTTGGGCTGGGCTAACATGATAAAAATGACAATACTGCCCAAGGTACTTTGCGTATCCAGTACTGTTTGATACCTAACGCAACCATGGCTAGGGGAAGAGTTCACGACCACACAAGGGACAGAGGGGATCTTGGAAGGATAAAATGGACAATTTGATTACATAAAATCGCAAAGCTTTTACCCAAACAAAATGAACACAATTAAAATGAGAAGGGACACTGGGGGAAAAATCTTTACAGCAAGTTTCTCTGAAAAAGGTCTAATATCCAAGTTATATAAGGAATTGATTCAGATATATAAGAACAAGGGCCATTCTCCATATGAAAAATGCTCCAAATCACTAATAATTAGAAAAGGGAAAATTAAAATAACTCTGAAAGCCCACCTCATGCATAACAAAATTGGCAAAAAAAAAAAAGAAAGAAAGAAAGAAAGAAAGGAAGGAAGGAAAGAAAGAAGGAAGAAAGAGACAATTCTTGGAAGAGTTGTGGAAAAACAGGCACACTAATAACACGGTGGAGCTGTGAAGTGGTCCAAGCCTTCTGGAAAGCAATCTGGATCTATACTCCCAAAGTTATTAAATTGTGCACACTCTTTGCCTCTGATATACCACTGCTAGGACTAACCTAAGGAGATTAAATAAAGAGGAAAAGGACTCCTATGTACCAAAAAATTTATACGATTTTTTCTGGAGTGGTAAGGACCAGAGTGGGCCCTACCCCCTCAGTCCCACCTCCTTGCGAGGCTTCCTAATGAAGTTCAAACTCCTTGGGCAGGCATCAATGGGGATATCAAGGTGGACACCCCTCTGTCTTTCCACCCTTATCTCATCATTCTTAATCCCCTGGTGGACCGTGATTCAGACAACCTGGACTCCTTGCCATCGTCCGACACAGAGAGCCCGTACATTCACACCATTGTGCACTCACTCCCTTCCCTAAGTCTGGAATGCCATCTTACTGATCCATTTTTTTGCTTATTATTTACAAATACCACTTTCTCCTCCATGAATGAAGCCTCCCTGATCTCCCTAGCTGATAAATGATCTTTGCTTCTCTGATGTCACGTTGTCATTTGAATGCACCTCTCATGCAATCAGGTATTATCTTTTAATACAGTTTCCTGCTCTCCGAGAGCACAGGAATCTTGCTTCATCTAAACTCTCTATCTTTCCCAGAGCTCAGCACAGTATTTTCATAGCCTTCAGTAAATATTTGTTGGAATGAATCGCCCAAGTTCATAGGTAGCCAAGGACAAGACCAGGATGAAAGGCAGGTCTTCTGACTCCTGAGAGAGTCCAGTGTTCTTTCCGTTACACAGCCTTGTCTCCCCACAGCGTGCTTTTGTTTAATGATGACAACACTCAGGAGACTTTATTATACATTTTCCTATTTAGGTATAAATTGTAAGATGATAGAGATTTAAGAGTCAGAAGACTTGGGTTTCAATCCTGGCTCAGCCTGGGTGATGCCGTGCGAGTCAGCTCTCACCTCTGGGGCTCAGTTTCCTTCTTTGTGAAATGAGGAGGAGTATTACCACCTTAAAGTTTGCAAAGTTACTCACACATATTATCTTATTCTTAGACATCTGTTTTCAAACATCCCTGCCAGTCCTAGACCCTATGACCCCATGACATTTAGCCATTTCCAGATCAATGTGTGAAGGTCTCTCCATAGTACTGTACTCTATAAACTTTAATTTTTTTAAAAAATTTTTAATTTTTATGCAATTGGGGTTAAGTGACTTGCCCAGGGTCACGCAGCTAGTAAGTGTCAAGTGTTTGGTCTGAGGCCGGATTTGAACTCAGGTCCTCCTGACTTCAGGGACAGTGCTTTATCCACTGCACCACCTAGCTGCCCCTCTACAAACTTTAAAGAGCCATGAATATGTCCGTCATTGTCATCGTCGTCCTCATCCTCATCCTCATCACCACCACCACTACCACCATTATCACTTACACACAGGCATCATATGGTTTTCCACTGCCCTTTGGGTAACACGCAGCTTTGGTTCTCCTAAGATCACAGTGCCCCATGATCAGTAGCCACGAAGCATTACCAGAAGAATATTGGTGTTTAAAAGATGGGGACTTACATCAGGGGAAGTACAGCTACTAAATGCTAGGGTACTGGCTTTTGAGAAAGGATACAGGTGATCTCTGGTTAAAAACAAACAACTGTGGTAGTTTATTTAGGGCAAGAGAATTCTCTCCACCCACCCCAATACCTATTCCTTCTTTCCTAAATAACTGCTGGCCAGTGGTTGGGAGAGATATACCCACTGGTTTTATTTTCAGCTATCAATTTCCAGTGAGAACTATGGTGAAATTTGGACTTAACAGAAGAAAGGAGAAGGGCATCATAAAAAGGAAACACTTCTCCAAAGACAAGGCAAAAAAGGTCTTGAGGCCCATGTCAGATAAGGCTTTCCCAAAGAAGAGCTATAGGCATCCAGCTGTTGAAGGGGCTGCAGGAAGACAGGCACATTGGGGCACTGCTGGTGGAGTTGTGGTCTGGTACAGCCACTGTGGAAAGGATTTGGGAATGATACTCGAAAAGTCACTAAACTGGGCATATCTCTTGATTCATCAATATCACTGCCACGCTTTCGCCTAGATCAAACAAAAAGGAAAAGGCCTTACACATACAAAAATATCGACAGCAGTTCTTTCTGTACTGGCCAAGAGCTAGAAGCCAAGCAGCCAACTGGAGAATGGCCGAACCAGTTACAGTCTATGAATATATTGGGATATTGTGACATAAGAAATGATCAGAGGGATGGTTTCAGAACAAAAAACTTGTACAGTGAAATGAGCAGAACCAGGAGATCAAGCAATTTATATAATAACAGCAACACTATAATAACCGACAACTCTGAAAGACTTAAGCACTTTGCCAATGTAATGACCAACCAGGAATCCAGAGGACTGATGATGAGGTGGGCTCTCTACCTCCTAATAAGAAGTCATGGGTTCAAGATGCAGAATGAGAACCATAGTCGGGGTCTAACAAATATATTTGTTTGTTTTACTTGATTAGACTTATTTGCTTCAAGGATTGTATTTGCTTCAAGGATTGTGGCAGGAGTGGGGGTGAGCTAACATCTGTGTTGCAAAAACAAACCACAAGGAATAAAAGAGGGTCACAGCAGTATTTTTAAAATCCACAGAAGGAGGCCTGGAGGGAAACACAAACAAGTATAATAGCTTTAAAAGTGATACAGAATTTGTGTGTGTGTGTGTGTGTGTGTGTGTGTGTGTGTGTATGTGTGTGTGTGTATTTAAGAAGATGTTGTACATAATAGAGATTCACGGTTTCCCATGAAAAAGAATGACAGTCATCACTCTATAAGTAGAGTACAAAAGACAGAGCGCTACCCTTGGAGTTAGAAGGCCTGGGCTTGAGTCCTGCCCTGGACAGTTACTGGCCACGTGACCCTGGGTTAGCCAGGCAACCTCAGTTTACTTATCTTTAAAAAATGAAATAATGGCACCTGGGGTAGTGACTTCACAGGTTTTTGTGCAGCTAAAATGAGAAAACATTAGGTAACCTATTATTCAAATTTTAAAACACAATAGTCAGTTATGATCAACAACTAGGTGGTGCAGGGGATACAGCACCAGGCCTGGAGTCAGGGGAACCTGAATTCAAATCTGATCTCAGATACTTCCTAGCTTGGTGACCCAGGGCAAGTCACTTCACCCTGTTTGCCTCAGTTTCCTCATCTGTAAAATAAGCTGGAGAAGGAAATGACAAACCACTCCAGTATCTCTGCCAAGAAAACCCCAAATGGGGTCATGAAGAGTTGGACATGACTGAAAAACAACCGTACAAGAGGAAGTCAATTTTGATTACCACTTACTGTCTCAACTATCAACTCATGCGGCACTCCATATTGTCTGGGAAGAGGATTTAGTCTCCTGCCCAGTTAAAACGAAATATTTTCCTCACATCCAACCAATACCAGGCACCCTTACAAAAAAGGGGCAGCTAAGTGGTCTTAGTTGGTTACAGTAATGTCATCAGGACAAGGGACAGCAACCCTATTACAAAGTACTCGGTGACCTGATTAAGGTCATTTTTGGGGTAAAATGCTGAAGCTCAGGCAAGTGGAAAGACTGCTATTCCAACACTGTACAAGGTATGCAAATAGTAAGTACCTAAACAAAATCCTCAAGAGTGAGGTTAAACCATGTGATAGAAGGCTTAAGAAGAGAGTAATTAAGTGAAAAAATCCCCAGCCATCTGCTAACATAACTTACATGATTATAGAGATTTTATGATGTCAGAAAAGAGTGCCTGTCTATGCTGGCTTAAAAGGACAGTTTCTATGATTATTAACTAGATCCTTGTGCAATCATAATGTAATTCCCTGTTGTCGCTTTACTAAAGAAGAGTTTGATTTGTAGAAACAATGCCCACCTCTAATAAAAAGGGAATCATGTTATTCCAACCTGAAATTTTAAAACTTCCAGAACTCAAAAGATCAGAATGTGAAGAGAATACATCGGGCTTTTTGGTATTACTATGTCTTTAAGAGATAGCTTTAAAAGTGTTAAACATTCAGAATAATAGACAGAAGGGTGGTACCTGCATAGGGCCTGGAATGCAAGATAAAACTCTCTCTATGTTTTCTGAGGTCACATCTACGTCGTTTACAGCGGCAAGGGTATCACCTGAAAACAAGAATATGAAAGAAGGTGAGGAGAGCCACAGAATTAGGGGGTTTTGAGGCTGGAAAGGACCTTGTTAATACTTTAGTTCAACCCTCCTCATTTGACATATAACAGAGAAGCGCAGTGGCTCCTGGGTCCCTCAACTCCCAGGCCAGGACCATCTTCTCATTTCTCATGACCTCCTCCTCCACCCCACCGCAGCCACACACAAAGATGGTCAGACCCAAGATCGTGCCATCGCTCACAAACGTGACAATTCCATGTTCACAAACCCTGACAACAACCTACTGTCATCCTACCTCTCCCCTCTCCAAACCCTGCTCTTTATCGTTACCAGGACCTCCACTGCCTCCCAGTCCTCACTTCTTTCCCAGGTCACCTCTCCTGCACGGGCTACACTCTCCTTACTTTCTCATCTTGACCCCTTGGGAAACCAGTTCAGCTCTGCACTGTCCCCTTCTCCTGAGTCCCGTTCCTTTACCGGATCACCAATTTTGCCTTGCTAAGCCTCAGCCTCAGACCCCTCCCATCACACACTGTCTTTGCTTCTACACGTGTACTGCTGAAGAAAGCTGGAGAAGATCAGAAAACTGTGTTGATTAGATCCATCACAAATCTGTGTAACCCAACCTCCACTGGACCCTCACCGCTGCTAGGCAGTCCTACTGGACCTCCCTTACCAGTGCACTCTCCACTCTCCACAGCAGCTCTTCCAAACCTTGTTATTGTTTTTATTGTTATTGTTCTGTCACTTTTTAGTCCTGTCTGACTCTCTGTGACCCCATTGGGGGTTTTCTTGGCAAAGATACTGGAACAGTTTTCCATTTCCTTCTCCAGTTCATTTTACAGATGAAGAAATTGAGGCAAACAGGGATAAGTGACTTGCTCAGGGTCACATGGCTAGTAAATGTCTGGGGCTGGATTTGAACTCTGGAAGAGGAGTCTTTTTGATTCCAGGCTCGGTGCTTTTTGCACTGCGCCATCTAGCCACCTTCTCATCCCTCCCCTCCCTAAACTGTCTTAGAAGAGAATCTTGCCTCACAGTTCACTAAAAAACAGAGGCCATTGGCCAAGAGCCCCCTCTTCTCCCCTCTTCCTCATCTCCCATCACTCTGATGCCTCTGCCACTTGCCTTCTTCTTACCTGG